CCCCCCCCCCGGCCTGGGCCGGTGACCAGGGAAGAGGGATGCACGGGTGTCTCCCGGCGAGCGCCGAGAACCGGGCAGACACACAGCAAGGGGCAATCCCAAGCGTCGCGACAGCCGGCCACCGCTTCGCCCCCGGAGTCGGAGCAGGGCTCGGCACCCGGGAGGCCTGACGTCAGCGCCGTCTCCCAGCACGTACGCCACGCCGATCGCCCGCCTAAAAGGTATCCCAGATCGACGGTGGGCCAGCTGGCCAGCAGCACGCGAACTTGTCGCAGGCCCTGTAGGCGGAACCGCACGCGGCACTGTGGCCGCAAGCCGCCAGGGGCAAGGGGAAAAGATGGGGACAGTGTGCCCAAAGCACTCCCACACGGAGGCTCTGATGAGCGGAGCCCGGGACTCGTTTCCTGGTGCCCAGTTTACTGGCGGCGCCCCATCGTCCCTCGCCCTTGCCTGCGGAGAGAATGCGCCGGACGCCTCGCTCGAGCGCCCTCACCCCGCGTTTTGGTGGCGCGCGGACCCGAGTCATCTTGCCCCCAGGGCAGACCACCTGGCCTCCGGGCCCCCAGATTTTAAATCCACCAGGCGAAGAGCCCCCTTGGCGCGCCCGACCCAAATGAGGGCCACCCTTGGCGATATCAATCTGCCAACGCACGGCCGCTCGAGTACCTGCCCGGCACTTTCCGGGGCGCTCTTTCCGCCCCGCTGGTGGTTCCATCGGGCCCGCCGCCACACCGCCGGGACTCACCCGTGGCCAGTGTCGGCGGCGGCCCGCACCCTACACGCCGCAAATTTGAGCCCCGTGGCCGGGCGCGCGCCCCGGATCATCATTCCCCACATCGGGCAGGGAGCCACTTTTATTTCCTTTCCTGGGCCCCCCTCTTCCAGGGTATCCCGCGCGCTCTTCGACCCGAATCAGGCCCCTTCCAACGACCGGCGCGCCAGGCTGCACCTCCCTCGCGCACTCTAAACATGCGCCACACCGAGGGCGACCCGCTGCAACCGAACCCGGTCGGCAGAGCGGCCGGCACCAGGCAATCCACCAGCCTCAGTGACCAGCCATGCGCCCAGAGGAAATATCGAAACAGCCTCCGGGACACATGGCACACGCATTGAACACCGCCCTGACCGGCGCCATCCAGGCGTTGGGATCCGCTGTCTCCCCCGCCCGGCACACTCCGGGAGGCGTTTGCCTGGCAGGTCGCCGGTTATAAGGAAACAACCTTGAGAGCTCCGGGAATGCGGCCCCGCCTCAGCGGGACCTTTCCGACAGCGGAGTTGGCATTTTGCCGGCAATCGGTGGCGACCAGTGGGGCCGAGTCGCGGTCAGAGGGACGCCACGGGAAGGCAAGACAACTGTTGTGCTCGCAAATGGCCCGGGAACCAGCGTCTCCCCTCGGCTGGCCTCTTCCCGGATCTGTCCCCCACAGTGACCGGCTCACAAGCAGCACCCCGGGCAGGGGCCCTCTGGCCCGGAGCCAGGCCACCGCCAGCCAGCGCCCCATCTCGCCGGTGTGCCCGGCCGCGAGCTGGCCGAGTCGGCGCCATGGACAAGTCACGATCGAAAGCAGGGCCCCTCGGCACCTTGTCGGCTTCCGGTGTCGCCAACGTGTCGAGGACCGGAAACTCCAGCCGGCCACTATCCGCCGCCGGAAGGGGCCCATCAAAAATGAAGAGCGCCCACCCCCTCCGGATCCCCAAGGGACGCATCCCCCCGGAGTGCACCGGAAACAAGCCCCGCTCCGAGGCGGGAGCCGCTCCTCCTCGGAACGCCCCGCACCCAAGCCACGGTCAAAGCCGCAGCCACGCCCCATGATCGGGGAAGAAAAGGGCACACTCATGCCCAAATGCGAAGCCATGGGCAATGCTCCCCGCCCGCCTCCCCTTCTCGGCCGAAGTGCCGGATCTGCCCGCCCCTGCCGCCGACCTGCTCGCCAAGCTCGCGGTCCGGCGCGATCCCTCCACGAGTGTGATAGCATGGCCTGCTCTTGCCGGGCCATCCGCCATCGAGGCGGGCCGGTCCCGGGCCCTGTGGCGTCCATCTCGCCGGGGTGCCCGACGTCCGGGCAAGGCCGCACGTCTTCATTGCTGCCGGGGGTGTCTGGCCCATCGCCAACGCCATCGAGAGGCCCTCATGTGCCAGATTGCCGATCGTCAATCTTCCCCGCCCCGAAGTTGTCGCCCGGGCAGGCATCTCCCCCTGAAAGAGACAATGCTGCCCCACTGGTCCCCTTTCTTCCGACGCTGCCCTCTCCTTCGGCGCTCCTGGGTGCCCCTCTCACCTGCACACCCGCGGCTGACGGCCCCAATGCGGGCATCTTGACCGGGGGTTATTCGGCTCGGACCATGAGTGACATGGCCATCCCGCCCAGTGCTCTCGCGGATGCTGCCCCGGCGGCATGCCAAGACGACCCGCTCCGACGCGCGGGCCGATGCTGGCGGTCCCCATGACCTGCGCTTGTCGGGACGTATCCTACACATACCCGACCAATGCAAACAAGGGGATCTCCCATGTCTCGCACCGTGCATCGGATGGCCCGCATCACCGGGTTGGTGGCCGGCAAACAAGCGCGGGAGGCCTCCCGCCAGGGAGGGCCATCGCCCGGGCCGGCCTCTGGCCTGGGAGACAAGCCTGCCCTGTTGATGCCCGTGACCCGTCGGGTCCGCAGGAATCCCAACGCGAGGGCCCCGCTGCCGCGAGGCACATCCCCTTGCGGTCGCTGGACATCTGGGCATGACGTGATGTGCATTTTTCCGCGTCAAATCTCCCATCGGAGAGACGCACACTGGCGACCTCGGTACCAGGACCCTCGAAAGGGCTTTCGATTCGGTCGAGGCAGAAAAAAGAGCCCCCTCCGCCCGGATCTCGGTCCCCGCCCTCGGGCTGACCCTGCCATCGATGTCGACGTCGACGGATGGCCCGCATCAGCTCGTGCCCGCCTCGCTCAGTCAAAACGATCGCAAGAGGTCCCAAGATCGGGGCTGTCAAGCCCCCCCCCCCCCCAGCGGCGGCCCTCCCACCGGGCACCGGTTCAATAAGAGCCGCATAGAACCGGAAATGCATGTGGACAGCATTTTCGCCCCACCCGGCGCCCCTTTGAGTCGCACTTGCCTGCCATCCCGTCACGGCCCCCGACCCCGGCACCACTGCCCCGCCCCCCGAGGCAGCCATCCCCAGGCGACCTGTCTGTGCCGGCTATGCCACCAGGATCCCCCGGTGCACCGGGGCCTGGGGTGAGAGTAGGTACATGTGCGTGAGCATGTTCGTCGGCCCAGGGCACCTGGCCAGGCTCATGGACAGGCGGTGATCCCCTCGCGCGCTTGTCTACCGGATCGGCCGATGCGTGCCCGCGCTGGGCTCCGACCAGTTTCCCCACACCCAGGAACAGGGGCACAGGATTCTCCCATGAAACCGGGGCTTTGGGCAAGGCATCGGTCGAGGAGCGAAACTCGCATGCAGGCCCGGGCAGCTTGAACACGAAAGGGGCATCTACGAAAATAGCATCGGAGTTTATCGGGGATAGATCCGGATTTAGTCATGTGCCAGGAATGTTGATGCCCGGGATTGGGCATGTGGCCATGTTAGCGGCTTGCGTGAAATCCCCCTGGCATTCGGTTGTTTTTTCCTTCGCACACCGCCACCCAAGATCCCGCTACTGTTGCAGACATCGCGGGACCCCGGCCCACGGACACGACGGCGCGTTTCGGTTGCTCCTCCAGCAACCAGCCGCAAGTGTTCCCTTTGAAAAAGGGTCCCCTCGTGGGCCCGCACAGTGGTGACCTCCTTCACGTCTCGAGCATTGCCACTCGCCGGGACTTCGAGCTTCGGCCAGATTCAGACCCTATTCCGGCCAACGAGCCCCTGAAACAACAGGCACACTGCCACCGGGACCTTGCCGCCCGGTGGACCCAGCCTCCCAAATCACAAGTGCCAGGGCATGTATGTTGTGTGGCATAAATAAAGACATATTTAACGCCAAGACAGGCAGGCGACCGAGCGCGGGGAGCTCGGGCGGCCTTGCTCCTGGACTTGCCCCGGCGGGCAATCACCCGGACAATGCATTGGCACTGGCCGGTTTCGGGACCGGCCCGGGTTCAGCCCATGCGTTGTTCCCATTTCCCCGCCTCCACTCCTCGGCGCTGTATTGACGAGGCCCCCGCCGCGCGTCAATATTCACCCCCCGCTCCGCGTTCATCCACATGTGTGTGCCCCGAGCGGCGCACCCCCCCCCCCCCCCCC